GTGAGCCCCCATGTGGGTGATGGAAAGAGCCTTGGTCCTCTGCCAGAGTGGGAAGCACTGTTAGCCACACAGCCAGCTCTCCAGGCCCTTGCTTGCTGTTTAAATTTGGGCATCTATTATATTCGTGAATATATGTGGTATGAATTTGTATGTGCAATCAGTCTTGGTCAAGACACAGGATCAAATAGCTTTGTGTAAGTAAACTAATCTGAACTGTTATTTAAATGTGGACACTGGTACAATTTATGTAGTGCTGGGATTATTCGTCCCTTAGAAATGGGTAGAATTCCCCTGGAAGACTGTCTAGAATGAGTTATGTTTTGAGACTGTGGTGAAATCTGCATCACACTGTTTTCTCTGTGGTAACATGTCTGTTTATCATTTCTTTCTCTTCTGAACTCAGTTTTGATAATTTTCTCTTGTAATTAAAGTCTCAATTTCTTCTAGTTTTTTACTTTGAAGTTAAGCCAAGCTTCACTTGCAATTGTTATAATTGTTCCTCTACTAATGTTATTTTCTAATTGGCATTTTCATTTAGTGAATTTTCCCTCTATTTTGGGGAAGAAATCACCAAACCTTTGATATTTTCCCTTCAAATGAAATTAAAAACCAGGGAGAGCTGCCCTGATCATTTTGAAAAGGTTAATCTAATCTTGATTTCAAAGTCAGATAGGAGCTATGCAAAATAGGAAAATTGTAGACCAACTTTACTTATAGATGTAGAATCAAAAATCTTAAACAAAATTTTTGCTAAAAAAATCTGGTAATGTACTAATATATTTTACAAAGTAATGCAAGGATAGTTCAACATCAGAAAGACTCCACTTATATCAGCACATTAACAGAGCAGGGGAAAGAAGTACCTGATAGCCTCGGTAATCAGAAGTTGAAGAAAAAACATTTGACAATGTTCCGTACCTCTTTTTTTTGGGGGGCGGTTGGTTTGGTTTTTTTGAGACAAGGTTTCTCTGTTTAGCTCTGGCTGTCCTGGAACTTACTTTGTAGACCAGGTTGGCCTTGAACTCAGAGATCCACCTTCCGAGTGCTGGAATTAAAGGTATGTGCCATCACCACCTGGCCAGTTCAGTACCTATTTATGATTAAAAAAAAAAAAATCAGAACTGACAAGGTGGCTGAGTGAGTAAATGGCCTGCTGTCAAGCCCAAGCTTTTGAGTTTAGTTCCTGGGACCCTCATGGTGGAAGGAGAGAACTGACTCCCAAAGATTATCTGACCTAAATACACACACACACACACACACACACACACACACACACACACACACACACACACACTAAATAAATGCAAAAAATTAAAACTAAAAGGTTGGAGTAGAAAAACATACTTAATTTGACAAAGTTTATACATATATACAAGTGATACATATAACAGATACACTTGAGATAGTTTTAAGACCTCAGCATCCCTTAATAATAATTGATTGATACATGCGGTAGTTTGAATGTCATTGGCCCCATAATCTCATAGGGAGTGGCACTATTGGGCCATGTGGCTTTGTTGGAGTGGGTTTGGCCTTGTTGGAGGAAGTGTGTCACTGTCGGGGCAGGCTTTGAGGTTTCCTATGATCAGGATACTGCCCAGTGCTTCAGTTGACTTCCTGTTGCCTGCAAGATGTAGGACTCTCAACTACTTCTCCAGTACCACGTCAGCCTGCACACCATCATGCTCCCAGACTGAATCTCTGAAACTGTAAGCAAGCCGGTAAGCAGCGCCCTCCATGGCCTCTGCATCAGCTCCTGACTCCAGATTCCTGCTGTGTTTGAGTTCCTGTCCTGACTTCCTTCGGTGATGAACAGCAATGTGGAAGTGTAAGCCAAATCAACCCTTTCCTCCCCAACTTGCTTTTTGGTCATGGTATTTTGTCTCAACAGTAGAAATCCTAACTAAGACAATAGGGCATTAGAGAGATCACTAATACTGTGAGGAATGTAGGAAGAGTATAAGGTCTGGAAGGGATGGCCTAAAACTATACATATGATTTTAATCTCTATGGGTGTGGGTGAGATATGGATGAGCTGCTAAAGTAGGTGTGAGGATACGGTGAGGTCTCCAGATACAAGATCACCTTACAAAGTCAACAGCATTTTCTATAGCAGCAACCAAAAAGGAAGTCTAAAAAATGATTGATATAATATGCAATGTAAAGAAATCATGATAAGAGAAATAATAAGTAAATGTAATGAAAAATAAACACCACCATGCTAGCAAAAAAGTCACCAAGTATTTGAGAATTAAGCTAAGGACATATAAGATCTCTAGGACCTGACCTTTCAAGTGAATAAATTGACAGCCCTGGTTAAGTAGGTGATGGTCATGACCAGGTCAGTCTCCCAAGACTCGTTCATAAATTTAGTGAATCAATCTCATAGTGACAGCTGTGAAAGCATGTACATGTGTACACAGATTTAAACACACGCGTATGTAACTTATTGGATCTACTCCAAAAGTAAAATAAAGTCCATGAAAAAGTAAGTTTAAAAGACGAGGGAGGGAACATGGAGCTACAGTAATGAAAACTGTGGATCGATAGGGGGAACCCAGCCAGCAAAATGTCGACTTCACAAATCCAACCCCCAGAACTCACATGAGGGTAATAGCACAGGCCTATAATCCCAGGGCGGGGGGGGGGGGGGGGGGGGCGGGGACCCCTAGGCTTGCTGGCTGGCCAGAGAGTCTAATCTGTGAAACCTAGGCCAAGAGACACCGTGTCTCGAGGAGTGGATGGCATTCCTGGGGGTGATAGTTGAGGCCGTCCTCTGGCTACCCCCTCTCTCCCCTTCATCAAAACAAACAAACAACATTGGTACATGAGTAAGCAAATCCAGCAAATGAAACTAAACAGCCAGTTGGAGATACGTCCATGAACACACAGTGTGGAATATGGATAAAGGAAATCCATAGGAGAGGACAGGTTCTTTTTCACAGAGTTTAATCTACTGAGAAAATTATAACCAGATCATCGTTTAGCCTTGTGGGTAATGAAACCCTTGACCAGATTAAAGACTTAAATGTAAATGTTAAAAATCCTGAGGTTAGTAGGAAAAAGAAGGGCTACATTTTCAGACTGAGGGAAAAGAAATTGCTTATTTCCCCAAACTTTAAAAGCACACACCGTGATCCTGAATTTGATTACATCAAAATGAAGAAATCCTGCTTAACAAAGAAATAACACAGGCCAATTAAGAGTCAGACGATAGGAACAGGATTTTTTTCAAAGTCTAAAACTGACAAGGGATTCACACCTAGAACACAAAAGGAACTCTGCAAAGGGACGCGGAGAGGACATCAGGGTCCAGCAGAAAAATGGGCAAGCGACGTGACAGGCAATTTACAGAAAAGGAAACCCCAAAAGCTAATGAGCACTCAAAGCGATGCTCAAACTCATTAACAGTCCAAGAAATGCAAATTAAAACCAGACATCACTTTGCACCTTCAGACTGGCAAAAAAAAAAAAAAAAAAAAAAAAAAAACCTCCACAACCGGGAAATACCAATTAATGCAAAATCGAGGAAACTAGGATTCCTCACATGGGCTGATGGGAGCGTAAATTGGTAAGGACATTTTTGTGTGTATGGTCCCACACTACTTATGCAAATTATGCACATAGGGACCCAGAGGACCCAAAGGTAAATCTACAAGGACGGTGTTGGTTTGTTGGAGGGCAGATGGCTGCAACCTGGAGTGATCCCACTATCATGAAGTTCCTGTGACCACAGAACCACACAGATAGATCTTGCCAGCAGAAAGACAACTGAAGTTAAGAAAATGTCAGTGTGGCAGTATGCTGTTAAGATGAATTATAAGCACACATGCACATCCTTGGCTATGTGTGTGCCTGTGTCTTCACTGATCCCTAATGAACTGGCAGGATCCAGGTTATTCAAACCAGCATGATGTCATCAACTGGTGTGGGGGTGGGGTGTTCTGTGCAGTGTGGAGTTATTCTAGACCTCTTTGGGCTATTTCATGGACCAGCGTGGAAGAATTAGTACGTCCAAGGGCGAAATCTCAGATGACTGTTTTCTCTTTCGGGTCCCCTTCTGCTCTACTGTGATGGAACAGAATGTGTGACTGAGGACATAGTTGCAGAGTGCTTGCCAAGCATGAAGGCCTGGGTTTGATCCTCAGCACCACATGAACTGGGTGAGGTGACACACAATGCCTATAAGGAGGTAGAAGCAGGAGGACCAGGAGATCGATGTCATCTTCAGCAAGTTCAAGGCCAGCTGGGATGCTCGCCACCCTCTCTCTCAAACAAACAAACAAAACAAAAAGAATCCATTCACTGAGTTCATGGCAATGTACCCTGTACTCAAGGCTTGTCTACTGTAGCAAAGGTGGCATGTCACACATGGAAGCAGGAACCAGGCCACTGTGACTGTGGATGAGCATCCTGTGGAGACAAAGAGGTCCCCAGAGAGTATCAGAGTAAGTTCTGTCCTACCCCTGGTGGGAAGGAAGGGAATCTCCTGAACCACAGATCCTAGGGCCACGTGTGAGCTGGAGAGTGCATCTGATGGCTTCTCTGATCTCCACAAAGGGCATCTCTGTTAGTCCTTACTAGAATTGAGCATTAGTGGGAGGTTTTTCCAAATAACTATCTCTTGGAGATGCTGTTTTTGAAGGCAAGCCAGTATCACACCTGTGGACATGTGCTATCACTTGACTAATCCCCTGATGCAGCTGGCACTCAGCCCCCATTTGTGGGGTGCCCATCACTTCCAGCGACCCCTTCTCCATGAGAGCCCGGAAGGCCAGGGTTTCTCTACCCTCAGATGAGGATTCTAAGAACTCTTGGGAACAGCAGTTTCTATGCCAACCACTTCACCTCACTCACTAGATAAGCCATTTTGCAGGAGACTAACTGTCCTTTAATGTCCCTTCACAAGCACACACACACACCCACACACACACACACACACACACACACACACACAGAGAGAGAGAGAGACAGACAGAGAGAGGAGAAGGAAGAGGAGGAGGAGAAAGAGGAGGAGGAGGAGGAGGAGAAGAATCTAACTCTTAAAAACCAAAAGGTGGGCTGTAGAGATGACTCAGTGGTTAAGAGCACTGGCTGCTCTTGCAGAGGACCTGGGTTCAATTCCCAGCACCCACATGGCAGCTCATACCTGTATGTAACCAGTTCCAAAGCTTGACATCCTCACACAGACATACACGCAGGCAAAACATTAATGAACATAAAATAAAAAACCAAAATGCTTACCCTCAGACACACGTGAAAGCCACAGACCCATACAAGCCCCATGGCACATCCAAATATCCATGCAGACCTCTTGCTCACAGGACTGCCTGCAGGTGCACACAATAACCTGCAGGCGGCACACACACCCGCTGTCTCCCACCCTTGACCTAACCCTCCCATCACCCTTTCCACGTTCTGGGACAATGACTCCCTCCTTCCCGATTCCCAGTCTTGGTGTTATCCTGGACCCCTCCCTCACATTCTAATCTATCAGGAAAACCTGCTTCAAAGAGCTGTAGTCTCAGGGCATGGTGGCACACACCTTTAATTACAGCACTCTGAAGGCAGAGGCAGGCGGATCTCTAAGTTCGAGACCCAGAGAAACCTTGTCTTGACCCCTCCCAAGCCCCCTCAAACCCAACAGCTGTGGTCATCCTCTCCTCACCCTTTCCACACAGTCGTGAATGACAAGATTATTTCAGGAATCTTATTTTTTGTTTTGCTTTTTGGAGACAGAGGCTCATGTAATCCGGAATATACCTGGCCTTGAACTCAAGCCAGGATTACAGACATGTGCCCCCACATCCAGTTCTAATTTCTCCCCATACTCTCTCCACCTTCATGGTCTGTTCTCAGGGCACAGGTTGGGTGGGGTCTGCAGGGGGGCCTCCCTTGCCTCTTTCCGGCTGCTGGTGTCCTGTGGTTTGTAGATCTGTCACTGATCTCTGTCATTATCTTCATGTGGCCTTTTCCTCTGTGTCTCTCTGGCTATTTCCATATAGGGACACCAGTCACAGTCAAGTGAGGGCCACCAGACTCTGTTAACCAGTTACATATGTAATGACCCTATTCCCAAATACGATGTTGGACCTTAACATAATGGGGCGGGGGGAGGCTGGAAGAGTCCATAACAGTCTCTGTGGCGTTAGTGCGGTCTCCAAGGTCGGTCGCTTTTCTCCTTGCTGTGATGGAATACCGGGCAAAGGCACCTTAGGGATGGAGGAGCGTCCACTTTGGCTCCTGGCTTCAGGGTGCAGTCTGCCATGGTGGAGAGACCGTGGTGGCAGGGATGTGAGGTCATATTTCATGTTCAGTCAGAAGGCAGAGATGGGTGCTGAGGTGCAGCTGGCTTTTCTATTCCATAGGGACCTTGCCCACGGGGTGGCACCGCCCCTTTTCAGGATGAGTCTTCCCCCTTTGGTCAAACCTCTCTAGAGCACCCTCACAGAGGCACCCAGAGGTGTGTCCCCTAGGCGATTCAAGATTCAGTCAGATTGGCAATGAAGGTGGACAGTCAGTCATCTCAGGACGGCTGAAGTGACAGTTATCTCAAAGGCCAGCACTGGCTGACACACAGACAACTGGGACCCAGCCCAGCCCCCAACCCAGCCCCCAACCCAGCACCCAGCCTGGCCCCCAGCCTGGCCCCCAGCCCCCA